TGGTTGGTTGGTTGGTTGGTTGGTTGGTTGGTTGGTTGGTTGGTTGGTTGGTTGGTTGGTTGGTTGGTTGGTTGGTTGGTTGGTTGGTTGGTTGGTTGGTTGGTTGGTTGGTTGGTTGGTTGGTTGGTTGTTGTTGTTGTTCGCCCGGCCTGTCCAGCATCAGCTCTGGCCAAGTTGCTGCTTTTAAGCCGTGGCTACTTTCTAAACTAGCTTGCTCTCGATTTTTGGGCCGGTTTCACTGTAGTGAGTGCCAAGGCGGCTACATGCCCGCTATGCGCTGAGCCCGCTCGCACAGCGTCCAATTGAAAATTGTTGTTGTTGTTGTTGTTGTTGTTCTTGTTGTTGTTCTTGTTGTTGTTCTTGTTATTGTTCTTGTTCTTGTTCTTGTTCTTGTTCTTGTTCTTGTTCTTGTTCTTGTTCTTGTTCTTGTTCTTGTTCTTGCTTGCTTGCTTGCTTGCTTGCTTGGTTGCTTGGTTCCTTGGTTCCTTGGTTGCTTGGTTGGTTGTTGTCGTCGTTGTTGTCGTTGTCGTCGTTGTCGTTCTCGTTGTCGTCGTCGTTGTTGCTGTCTTATGCGAAGTATCGACCGACCTGTGATCTAACTCGCACCAGCGAGAGGTTGCTCTGGCGAAGTGTGAAGGCTTTGACGGTGGCACCAGCATGATACAGGCCGAATGTCGAACATATTCCTTCGGACTCTGCCGGCGACCGACGGCATCTTTGCACCATCAGTCAACGCCCCAACATCATATGATAGGATAGGATCGAGAATCAAGCCTGGCCTGCCAGCTTGAGCACGCTGCCGCTGTACTATAATTGCTTGGGAGCTACAGCACGTCAAGGCATCTCGAGCAGCGAGCGCGATCGCTGTGCGCAGCCAGGCATGAACAGACACCCTCCAAACTATCTCGCTCACTGCCTGGTACTTGAGAACAGGCTCGAGGACTCTGAGTCTGCCATAGCAATGCTTGCGTGGCGCTATCTCGCTGGCTTAGAATTCAGAAGTCGCAACGACACTAAGACGAAACTGTGCTTGCCACAGAAGATTGGGCCAGAGCTCGGAGGCTTCTCAGCACGTTTCTGACAAGATGTCGCGTACCAGTAACTCTGCAACGAGAGACAATTGTCTGAAGTTCGGCAACTTGGAGCCTGCAAAAGCAGGTCTTCAGGGAGCTGGTCCGCCTGTTGTGGACGGTGGTGAAGATTGCTCGTCGTAGGTCATAGGCATACCATGCCAAGGCTTCTATCTGAATGCCAGCTGCGAGCTGAGGACGCAGGGGCATGAACGTCTGCATGTACACCAAGATCTGCACCTATCTCATTTTGCTTAGGGTCACATCAGGTTTTGATATGTTTGATAAAGCCTGCACATCGATCGGAGTCACTGGATTACCTGCTCACCGGGCAACTGTAGATCCACGGTTACACGGGTATTGGGACAAGCTCAACGAGAACCCATCGTTTGACGGCAGGACTGCAGCATCAAGTGGCCCAGAGGTGTACACAAAGGAAGGATCCTAAGGGCAAAGCCTATAAGCCCATGGCCCCAAGCCCTAAACCCTAAACCCAGGAAGAACCCCAGAGCTGAAGCCCAGAGGCCCTGCGATTGCAGGCTTCGACCTCTGTGCCAGGCAGGATCCTTCGGTTGATGTACCTCTTGAGGCCCCAAGGATCCGCAGAACCTTCGGCCGGTAACTTCGGCCAGTTTCGCGGTCCACGGCCTTTGTCACCTATGTAACCGAAGAGGCATCATGAACCTCCATGCCTTTTGGATCAGAAAGAGCAAGGCGCGATTCTTGACAGTGTCATTATGACACGGCACTATCACTGTAGCGCAGTCCTTGTGCTAATACCTCGGTTCGGGACGTGCCGTGGACCGAGCTGTCGGGCCAATAGCTGGCCCTGTGACATTGAAAACGGCGCAGAGCAAAGACTCTGTCTTTTGCGCCGCGGCGCTCTGAAGGAAAAGATCAAGCTCGTTAAATTTTGCAGACAGGTGTGCCATACAATGCTGTCGCACTCTGGTTTCGCTGCGCCCAGTTGGAAGCAGTGCCCTTCAGAGGGCGTCTTCTCCGGACACTACAGCGACTTGGCCTGGCGTTCATTGTGCAGTGGTCCCAAGACCACGAAGAGTTCTCTCACCTCTGAGGGGCGCATTGACATGGGACAGCAAGCCGTCAGCCTTGTGGTGCCCTTTGCAGAAACGGAACATGAAGTAGGGACCCAGCAACACTGCTCACATCGCAACGAAGTTTCGATGCTGCTAAACCCTAAACTTTAAACCCTGAACTCTCACCATGGATGGTGCTGCCTTCTCACACCCGAGGCTGTGCGCCCGAGAACCGGGCCTTCGACTTTCGCCGAAAGCTGGCAGAGACGTGTCCTGGCAACTGTTGGGGCTTGCCATACAATGTAGGGTGTAGGATTAAGCTGCCTACATTGACATGGGTAGGTGGCTCCCACATGCCCGTGGCCTGAGTGTGTGTTGCTTTGGCACTTTGGCGCAAGATGGTGCAAGGTACGGCTATTATGATGCAAAGACCATGTCAAAGATCAAGGAGGAGGAGATCAATGCAGACTTTTTAGGGTTACGCGAATACTAGTACTTGCAGTACAGGTTACAAGTAATTATCTCCACAGGCTACATGGTGTGACTTGCTGGCTGTGCACAGGGCTCAAAAGGATGCGGAGCTCAGCTTGCCAGAACTGCTTGCGCCAATGTCGACAGCAGCGTCACCAGAAATGATCGCAGTCAGAGTGAAATCAGAGAAGGATCAGCATGGTTTGCGCCCCGAGCGGAAAGGACGTGATGTGGTGGACTGGGCTTACCGAGCCTCCATCTGTCGCTGCCTCGGCTTTATGCTTGTTGCTGTGCAACTGCTTTTCTGCTAATACTTGTTTTACTGCCAGAACGGCTCCTCCTCCTCCTATCACGTCTTCTTCTATTCCTGCTGCTGCTGCTACTGCTACTGCTACTACTACTACTACTACTACTACTACTACTACTACCACGACCACGACCACGACCACGACCACGACCACTACCACTGCCACTACCACTACCACTACCACTACCACTACCAC